TCTCTAAGGTATCTGAGGCATCCCACAGTGGTCCAGGAGGCTGCTGGGCAAGGAGAAGTGGAGACTCAACGCAGATAACATCAGACTCCAATTCTGCTGCTGGTATCTGGTATCGATGTGTAAGTGACCTAACATCTCTCAGTCTTATCATCACTGGAAAAATGAGAATGGGGGCACCTATTCACTGGGTAGTCACTGGATCAAGGAGATGCTTCAGGTTTGTGCTGGCAAGCAATGTCTCCAGTTCTGGAAACTGCCTGCTACCCTTCAATAAATGCTTGCAAGATGAATGAAGGGTCTACAATGTAAGAGCTTAATAAATATTAGGGGCCCAAGCTGCCATTTATATCAGACACAATTATTTCCTGAAGCACTAAGAAAAAAATTTAAATGTTGCTAATGAAGCCATGACCCATTCCTTTTAGATGACCTGGGACTGTTTTTTATTTACCCAAAGATCTCTTTTAGACTTATTAGGACTTACATTTTTAATCGCAGATCATTACTAAGTTTACATTTTTTAAAAAGTGGGGCAACTGGGAATGTAAGTCAGTGATAGAGCACTTGCCTAGCATGCATGCACAAAGCCCTGGGTTCAATCCCCAGCTCTGAAAAATATATAAGTATATATTTTTAAAAAGAAAGAAAGAAAGAAAAGAAAAGAAAACTACTTGGGAAATCCATAAGTTGAGGTGTTCCTTAAATATTTTCAAGGTCAGAGCCACCTCTCTGATTTGATATCCTCCTTCCACCCACACCCTTTTACCACCTCCCCACTACCTGGTTTCTGCTTCACAGGTGAGCAGATCATTGTCCCTTCTAAGCAGTCCCCTGCCCCTACCCTACACCTCTTGGAGGGCATGCGCTCTCTGCTGCTTCTGCTTAGGCTTCCTGGCTTTGCCCACCCAGGGTTTGTGTCTGGGAGGCTAGGGGTCATCAGGGTCCATCCCCAGAATGGCCTCCTTGGCAGTACAGGGGGCATGGAGTAGCGTGGAGCCCACAGTGTCTGATACCCTCATCCCCCACTGTCATAGGAACCCAGAGTTGAGAAATGGGCCATGCTATCTTAAAAGTGAGAAGTAGGAAAATTAAACTTTTGGAGTCATACAACTGAGCCACCTCCAGAAGGCAGGGGCAAGGGTCCAGAAGGGAAGGTTGGATCCTTAAGAGATCTCTGACGGACCTTAGAGCAAATAGGGCTGGGAGTGAGGATCCACCAGGGTCCTGGCCAGGGGACTCTCAGCATGCAGCCTCAGGTGTACTGGCCCTGTGATTTTGTCACCGTTTTGCCTCACCCACTGGCTGGGAATGAGGAGTCCGGGCTCCCTTCCCTGATAAGTGGGGCTGGGGCGTGTTGGAGAACTTTCCTGCAGCCCTGAGTTCCCCTCCTGCAGAGGCAGAGCTGGGGACCGGGACAGAAGCTGATTTTCTTGGGAACTAGGGACCTGGACAAGACTTGGGGTGGAGGTTCCTAGCAGGGGCTATCTCTTGACTTCATTCTCCTGCCGTGTTGCTTCTGGGGTAGGGACTCCCTGGTTTGTGGAAACGAAATCAGGCCGCAGGGCAAAGGTAAAGAGAGAAAGTGCCAGGTTTCTGCTGGCATCCGGGAGGTTGGGGACGGTGGCAAGACAATGGAACTGAGGGGTCAGCTTTTGGCCCCTCCCAGCTGGCCTCAGTTTCCCGTGAACCCAGTAAGAGAGCGCCCTCCGGCTCCGGGAAACCTAAAACCCGGACTCAGCCACCGGGTAACTTCGCCCCGGGCGCGTCCCCCACCCGCTTTTCTCCCACCTTATAAAGTTCCCACCAATGACCCTCCGGGGGAATCCAAAACTAGGAAAGGGAGAACAGAGCCCCAGAGGAGGGATCGGGTGCCCGTGACGGCCCTGGCGGCGCTGGGGCCTTGCCTGGGGCTTGCATCGGACCCGCCGGAGACCAGGTCGGCAGGAACAGGCCGTCGCTGGGCCGAGCTGAGTGCCACCTACAGCCCCAGGACCCTGGCTTCTCTTCCCTCTACGGACCCGGAAAGCGACTTGCTTTGGGGCCAGGGACACGAAAGTCTGTGATCCAGCACCCGCAACCCGGATCCTTCAGCCAGTTTTCCCCCAAAGTCTCCCTCACTGTCCAAACCACCTCGAATCCCGACCCCGAGGGCACACTCCGCGGTGTTGGGGAGCGCGACCGGCCGCCAGGCTAATCCCCACCCTCCCGCCGCCCCCGGCCCTTCCTTTCGGGAGGGTCCCGTAGGGGACACGTGCTACCTCTTTGCCCTCGGGGCCCGGCTACGCTGGACGCCAGAGCCCGCCCCTCCCCCAATCTCGGGCCGCGGGTGGGGGGAGTGGTGGACTCCGGGGAGCGCCGCGGCGACTTTGGCCGCGGGTGCTGCCTCCGCGTCTTGTTTCCCAGGACCTTGGGGCGGAGTAGAGGCTTGTGTGTCCAGAGTCCAGAAGGAACCGGAGCGAAGGGACCTTCTTTCCCCCCAAGCCGCTGTGCGCAGGAAGGGGGTCTCAGCACTTGGTGGCCGAGCCGGTGGCCCGCAGGCCGGTCCCTGGGAGCTAGGGAAGGCGGGATGCGGCCCTTTACCCCGAGTCTGGGCTTTGCGTCTGCTTCGCGCCTACGCTTCTCCCGGGAGTGACTTGAAGCTTCGATCGGGTCTCAGGAATTCGCCCACCCAAGAAAGCCCCCGGCCGTCCAGATAGGACAGGCATTCAGCCCACTCTTCGGTCGCCTCCAGGGCTAGTTCTTTGGTTTCGGTCTCCGATCCATAGAACCCAGGAGCATAGGGACGCAGTCTAAAACTCCCTCTTCCTACTCCCGCCTGCCCTCGAATCCGGACCCCCTTTTTTGAGGCCCAGCTTCCTCGCTGACTGGCTGGTGACCTCAGGATCGGAGTTCTGGAGTCAGGTTCCCCATCTGTGCCTGGAAGGAGCTGTGCTCATTGAAATGTTGGGGTCTTAGTGCTCGGTAGCCAGATTCCCCTTTTCCACCTCCTAGAGCTCCGGTGGGAGGAGGACTTGATCCAGGCCAGTGAGGGGCTGCCTGGGAAAAGCCTCAGATGCAGAGTGTAACTAATTTGTGTAATGTTGTATTCCTCCAATTTAGTAAAACTGCGAGAATCCTCAAGGAACTGTGATCACTGGGGTCAGACCCACCCACCCCCCACCCCCACTTGCCCATCTTAAATCTTCTCTGGATTCCACCCTCTTCCTTCCACAATTCTGCAGAGTTGACAAAAACATAGCTGGAGTCTCAGTTCCCCTGGCCTCCTGGTGACAGAACTCCACCTTCACTTTGCTCTCCTTTGAACTATAAAGGATTAAACTAGTCCTGAAAATCACCTGGTTGCCAGAGTCTGGTATGAGAAAGTTATTAAGCACTGATTGCTAGGTTGAACTGACCTGGATGTAACCTCAAGGGCCGGAAGGAATTAGGGGGCACAGTCACACATTGCTGATTCCTTCTTTCCAGGAAGCCAGGGTCCCACAGTCTTCCTTGGACCCCTAGGGAGGGGGAGTAGAGGCCTGGGCAAGTTGTCCAGGAGCTGTTTGCAAGGCTAACTTAAGAGCCCCGAGCCTGCAAGAGATCATTTCCCAGAGTTTTGGCAGAACTGAACACAGAATCCCCTACAGCCCTCAGAAAGTATGGGCTCTCTTCTTTCTCAATCCTTTACAGCTCCAAGTTGGAGATTCTAGGGAAGAGAACTCCAAGGGCTGGTTCTAAGAAGGGATGGACTAGCAGATACATGAAAAGGAAGCCATCATCGATGTAGGTCTGGGACATACCTGACCATTGCCACATTCTGAAACACAAAGCCTACAGCTCAAGAGTGTGAATATCCTGGACTCTTCCTCATATTTGGGCTTTGAAACCTGGTCCTACTGGGAAAGGCATGGCCAAGTTGTGTCACCTTCCTGAGCTTTAACCAGTAAAGTGGCCATCTTCCATTCCCACCCACCCGGAAGTGTCTTGAAGCTTCAATCGGGTCTCAGGAATTTGCCCAACCAAGAAAGCCCCCAGCCATCACCTTAGGAGGCACCGGACAGAAACCCACATGTAAGCTTTGAGAACAGCCTAAAAACACCCTCCCGTGAGGAGGGGTGCCAGCGGGCACACGCTGCCAAGCTGTGCTCCTTAAAGCGTCTATCTGCCCCAACTGTGGTCTCGGGCAAATAGTAGTCTTCCCTCGCTATCCAACAGGTGCCCTCACTGCACGGAGCCAAGTCTCCGCCGCCCAGACGCCACCCTGCTGCGTGTGCAGCGGAAAAAGTGCAGACAGGTATGCCCTGCTGCAAGAACTCAAGTGCTGTCTGCAGCTGAAGGCTCTGGGGGAACCTGGGCTTCTGGTTCGCTTGGGAAGGGGCTGATCAGGACCTTTTCAAGGACCACACAGTCGGTAGTCTTTCAAATCCCTGGAGACAGAACCAAAAACCTATGCAGCTCTGAACTGTGGGCCACTTCAGAGTCCCATGGGGGACTGCATTGGCGATGGGCCCCAAGGCTGGGAAGGAAGGAAAATGGAGTTCAGCTGAACCTTGGCGCCCAGAGTGAAAAGGATTGGTAGAATCCTGCAGCAGCCGAGGACCCTTCCTATCCCGGGTCCCAGGGAGCAGGGCACCCCTCACCTCCACTGAGCCAGAGAACAGGATGTTCTAGAAGCGCCTGAGAGTGCCTTTCTTACCTTGCCTAGACCTCCAGCCCCCGTGGAATCTAGAAGGCCCCGCAACACACCCCACTGTGTCATAAAATATTTTATTGGAAAAAAAAAGTCACCGTCTTCGCAAGATGAGGGGTAGGAGCCCCAGCGACATCGGGGACCCGGCCTCGGGCCGAGCCGCTGAGTTATCCCGGCGCTGTCTCGGGCTCCAATGCCCTGCGCCCGGCAGCTGGGTCCCCGACGCGCGGAAGCGAGTGTGTGCCTGGCGGCGTCCAGGACCAGAGACGGGGTGAGGGTGTGGGCAAGGAGCAGGGCGTGAATGCACGTGGAGCGCACGGCGCCTCGGCGCCTCGGAGCTCCAAGGAAGACGAGTTGCTTCCTCGGCGATGGACGTCCCAAGTAAGGACCAGGAGCGCGCCGGGGCCTGGGTTTGGCTTCAGGGTCTCTGTCCTTCCTTGTTTGACCCCTGATTGTCCGCATTCGAAGTAATAATAAAATGCTTAGAAAGCAAACGGTGGGGACGAGAAGGGACGGTCCGCAGGTTTCCGCGGACTCAGGCGGCCACTGCTTCTCTGGCTCCCTGGTTCCGCACTCTGCCGAGCTCAATCCTCGCGGCTCCTGTCGCTGGGCTCGCCTGGCACCTCCGCCGGCTTCTCCGCCTCCTTGGCGCGCTCCTGCTCAGAGAGTTGCTCGCTTGTGGGGATGGAGTTCTTCTTTGGCCGCCCCTTGGGCTTGGTAGGGGACTCCAGGCCGCCGCCCTGCAGTACCTACACGAAGGATGACCAGTACCTCGATGGGCGGGAGGTGGACTGGGGACCCTTGTGCCCAGCACCCAGGGGTGACGGAAGGACCCAACCGGGTCATCAAGGACCGCTCCCCGCCCCTGGGAAACGGCAGCCATTTGAGAGCCGTTGGGAAGAGGCATCCCCTAAGACTGCAGCGGGGTTCAAGGCTGCCAGCGGACCTGGGGGCTCCGTGGGACACCAAGGATTGTTGGCCCCCATAGGGCACCCAAAGAGGCAGAGGGTCCTCATATGCACCAGGTACGGAGGGAATCGGAAGGGTTGGGAAGAGGTCCTCGCGGAGCAGGGAGGAACAGTTCTTGCAGGGCACAGGGGCATGGCCCGGGAAACCGAGGGCCTACAGAGCTACCAGCCACACTCACTATTTTCTTCCACTTCATCCTCCGATTCTGATACCACGTCTTCACCTGCAACTGGCTCAGGCCCAAGGACTCGGCGAGATCTATTCTGGAAAGAGCAGGGCGCACCTTCAGCAGTGCAGATGGCCACCCTCCCACCGCCTACTGGCCCCAGCCTTGCCCAACACTACCTGTCGGGCGTGGAGAGGTATTTCTGCTTCTCGAAGCGTTTCTCCAGGCCCATCAGCTGCAGCTCGGTGAACACAGTGCGGCTCCGGCGCCCCTTCTTGGCTTTCGTGCTCGGCTCACCAGGGCCTGCGGCCTCCAGCTTCCCGCGGAGCTGCAGCTCCAGCGGCAGGTGCGGCGCACCCGCGGCGCCAGGCAACCCAGGCCCGGCGGCCAGCAGCGCTGAGCCCAACCCGGAACAGCCGAGCGGCGCCAGCGGGAACTTGAACACCGCCGCCTGCTCTGCCTTCAGCACTGCTGCAGGGAGAGAAGAGTGAGCAGCCCAGTGAGCTCCAGCTGCGCTTCTCTGCCTCGGCATCGGCCGCACCAAGGGCCATGGGAGCTTCAGCTCAGAGAATTGAACACGCAAAACCTCCACGCCTGGCTGCCTGGAGCAAGCACGTGAGCCACGCGCAAAGATTTGAACTAAGTGCAGAAGACAAGCCTCCTCAATGTTCTGTTCTCCAGAGTCTGGAAGAAAGGACCTCCCCAACCCGGTGCTCTGCTCTGGCATTCCCCATGCCCCAGCCGCCTCTGGATTTCAGCGTTCACAGGTCTGAGACGCATGCAGTGTCTCTTTCGTAAAAAAAGAAATTACGAAGAGACCGGTGCGAATTAAGAAGGTGGGCGTCTGCCCGGACCAAATCCGGCTTGCTGCGATGGGAAAAAGAACCTAAAGGACTGCGCAGAGTCACTCTCCTGTGCTCAACACAGCAGCCACACCGCGGGCTGTGGCCGTGCCATCCTCTGGGATGGGATCCGGCGCTTCCTAGAAATTCCAAAGCACCCTGCAAACACGAAATTTGTGTTCTTGTTTTTCTGTTCAGGCTCTTCCCCTTGAAGATGCTTCCATGTTCTCTAGTCCTAAAATGTTTTTTTGCCCGCTTCAAACGAACTACTAACAAAGCAACAGATAGAAGTGAAAGGCAGCCAAGCACCGCATTCCAAATGAACTTAGAACGAGCAAACTGGCTCTGCCGCCACCGGCGGAACAAGCTCAACCAAGAAGGGACGAAGGGAGTGCAGAAAAGGCGGTTGGTGGGGCTGGGGTCCCCGCCAAGTTTAGTAGGCCTCCCTTCCCTTCAGGCTTCTCTGAGTTGGGTCCTAGTCCCTTGGAAGTAGGAAGGGGACCCAAGAAGGTGCAAGTAAAGGTAAGGAGGAGGAGAGGGGAGACGGGAAAAGGACTCTTTAGGGGAAAAGTGGGAGAGGCAGATCTACACAACCGAGAGGATAAGGGAGGCCAAACGCTGAGCAGAGAGTAGATGAGAAAGTTAAGAAGGCAATGGAGGTGGTGGAGAGGGCACTGCAGGCCAGGACAGGCACCGGCCAAGAAAGAGACAGGGTGGGCAAAAACGGTTTGAGCAAGTGGTTCAAGTTCTGCCAAGACCCAGCCGACCTGGAAGTGGAAGGTCCAGCCCGGCAGCGGCTCACAGGCAGGCCTCTTGCTCACGGCAAGGCCCTATGGCAGCAGAGGCCTCGTTTGTCCCCAGCTGCAGCACTGGACTCCAGGATACCCTGGGCCGACTTGGGCCAGTGTCTGTACCCAGCATTGGAAGCCGCGGGCTTCTTCTAGAGGTCCCAGCTACCCGAGTTTGGGTAGTCACAGGCTCCTCGTTGTCAGTTCTCCACGGCGAAGCCGAGAAGCCCAAGATCTGAGGTCATTTGGACCCTCGCTAATCCGCAGACCGGTCGTTCGCCCGAGATGGGAATGCGGGTTCTGTTCCCCGGGCCCAGCCCCCTATCCTGTGCTGAAGGCCGAAGAGCGGCCATGCAGCCAAAAGCAAATGCCCTCCCTGGCCTGTCCTTCGGGCAAGAGGCCTGTTTCTACGGAGCCTGTTGCCCGCACTCTCCGCTTCCAGGCTGGAGCGCGCCTAGAAATCTGTCCCGGGGCCTGTGCGCTCAAAGCCACGTCCAGGGACGGTTCTGGGGCCCAGGTAAGAAGGGTAGGTTCTGGGCGCCCCCACGGCGTGGCTCTTACTCTCCCGCTAAGACCGGCCCACAGCCCCCAGGCCCCAAGGCCGCCGCACGTACCCAGGTGGCTGTGGAAGGGCCGCGCCGCCAGCAGCGCCTGCACGCCGAACTTGAGCAGCTCG